CACCATCAGCCTGACAGATTTATCTTACACAGTATGGAATATATAGTGATTATTGCCACTGGCAAGTTTTAAAAGCCTGTTATTCCCATGAAGGCACTAAACTCACACATGACGATAATGACTGAGCACTGCTGTCCCAGTCCTCAACCCAGCACAACTACTGTGCTGCAAAAATGTAGGCATAACACTGCAAGAACACATGCTGCACCTATCTGCTGTATTAGCACATGCTGAGTACTCATGACAATGTAAAATGACAACTCATTGTGGAAACAAAACGGGTTGAAAGTTCACGAGAACCCCACATTAAGCTGCAAAAGCATTCTGTGCCTCATTAGATAAGGCTACAACATTGTGCATTGTGAGGAATAGTTTGATTCATAAAACCACAGAAAGCATGTATGTTTTCTCAATTAGTTAAAATACCTGTGAAGTTACTCCCCTCTATAAAACTAGTCAAGCTCAGAGAAAACAAGAACTAAGGAGTGGTATGTTTACCTGCAATGTCCTTCTCTTCCTCCTCAGCCTCCTCTTTGAGATCCTGCAATTTCCCCATGGGGTGTGTAGCAGGTACTGTTACCCCTGGGATCTGGGGCAGACAGCATGGGGGGGTCCGAGCAAGAGGAGAGTTTCGACAATCCAATAGAAACTTCCTGTCATAGATGATGCGGGTACCTGTGTTAGAGAAAGAGAGAAGAAAAAAGAAAAGAAAATCTTTTACCTGCAGTATACAAACATCAAATCTGACTTCCTAAAAGGAAGTGAAGTAAATGCATTGACATACACAACAGACCAAAAGCTGGAATATTACAGGATCAAAAAAAAGCCTAGTTATTACAAGAGCACCTATGCATCTTGGCATGGTGCACATTTACAGAATAAGTATGATTATCCTCTACCAGAGGGGATTTGAGTGGGAAAAGAAGAGGTCTGTGTGGGCGCAGAGGGGAGGGATGTAGGCTGCCCCTGCAATGAGTTCTAGGAAGTCAGAGTACAAAACATTCTGCCTTTGAAGAACGAGGCCTTGGGATTAAAGCCACATGTTTTGGTCTTTGACTGAGTGAAAGCTTTAACATTGACGGCAGATGCAAAATGCTTAGGTATGTATCCAAGGATGGCTTTACTCAAAAGCTGTGATTTAAGCTTAAAGATCAATACAAACCCTGCAGCTTGCCACGTCTAAAAATCTACTTGGCATGTCTCAAGTCTGTCACCATTTGGACATAGGCCAAACTTCAGACAAAAACAGTGTCATAAACGGCATCGTGTGATAAGTTTGACCAGGACATGACTGAGTCAAGGAATGGTTTGCTGCTTCTTTATTAGAGTTTGAACCGTTCTGTACAGTATCTGCTCAGCTGCTCTACAAGGAAAACATGTTATGTAATAACTGCAGTTCATCCTGGACAAAGAGAACCAAAGCAGAGGTGGGGAGAGAAAGAACTGAGGCGAGGAAAGGGGGCTGGAATCCTAACTATAATGTAAGCAATGCATTGCAAGGCAGTGCTAGAATACAGAGCAGTTACATAAAACAAGGGGTCAGTACAACAACATGGCATGACCCCAGTAGGGCAAAATGTGTTGCACAAAAAGTGGAATACAAGTTAAAACTCTGTGTTGCAACTTCCTATGCTACGTTTACCAGTGCTGTCAATTTTTGGCACAAATTGAAAAAAATATACATTGCTCATACTCCATATGCATTACACACTTCCTTTCCCTCCTCCTCTCAACTTGTACAGAATGTTCTCTACTGTTCATGAAACGCAAAAGCAGAGAACAGCGGGGATAGGACGCTGTCCAACTCCTCCACCACTGTAGAGGCCAATCACTTTGCTGTTCTGGCAGCTGCTCAGTACTCCCTCTTTAAATCACAAGTCACGGGGTTAGACAGCTCTTGTTGTCTTAGACGTCAGTGTTTATGATGCAGCAAAAGTGTGTGAAAAGGGTCAAATTCAAAACATTTTTATTTGGCATGTTTCTACCTAAATGTATGTTTGTGCATATATATTGTATGTACGTCAAAGTTACTCTTGTTCGGCAATCAGCAATGCACTAAATAAACGTGTTCCTATATAGTACTGATTTGAGTATAAATGGAAGCTTACACTACCTATGGTGCAAAAGTATTTCATGATTTCATCGTTTGGCTCACTTTGTCGAATCAACAAACATGTTGACAACATGAGGGCTGCAGCCAAGTGACAGAGTGAGCCACAAAGCATGTATCCAACGTTACCCTTTTTTCACATTTGTTTATTTTTATGTCTTGCATGATGTTTGCGCGGTGTAAATCATCTTTTAATTCCAACACTTGGCCTTTATCCGCTGTTTTGTGTGCACGTATTGTTCGCATCTTCTCGCGAGAGCTTATCCTTGAGCAATGAGTATTTGCACGTACAAACTGTTGAGTTACAGCTAACTTTCTGGGACTAGTCAACTCTTCTTGTTACTGTATAAACGCATTAACAAAGAAGAATTAACGTGAATATGAAACAATATTAACCAGAGAGAAATCGTAGCACTCCAAATGTTTGTTTGTTTGTTTTGAGAGTTCTTACCTCCAGGCGTGGTGGAGAAGAGGGTCCCCCCGGGTGTCTGGCTGTAACAGTCCGGTAGCTGGGACCAGTCCTTCAGGGTGAGCACCCTGGTGGGGATGGGGCAGCTTTTAACTTCCTTTGCACCGGTCGACATGCTAGCTTCTGCTGCAGGCGGAGTACTATAAAAGTGTTTCTTTTTTTTTTTTTAAATGTCCTCAAACTCGCTATATAACGCTCGCTCGCACTTCTGAACAAAGATAAATGACTTCAGCGTTTTCAAAGTGTTTTAACATGTAAAAGTTTCACTACTTTACACTTGCAAACTAAGAATTTAAACAAATTGAGTTTTGAGTTTGGGGCCCGGTGGTGTCCGTCGCTACGAGCAGCTATCAAACGCTACCATGTGCTGTATCTGTAGCACCCACAGCTGAAGCAGCCACTCGTGATGTTTTTGTACAACAGCTATGAGACACGTGGGGCAATGGCTATGTGGTGGTGCGAATGTTTCACTGTAAAAGACACCCTGCGGGGGCGGGGTTAGCGTTGGGGTACGACAAACAAAGTTTTTGATTATGATGAAGAAGTACACAAACATTAGTGCACGTATCCGATTGAATGAAAGGTTTACTAATTTAGAAATTATAATTATAATTATTTTTTTTTACGATTAATAATTTATAAAGAATGGGTTTTGCACTATATGTGAACAGATAAGTTAAATTAAAATTCAAACCTTATTCTCACAATTATCCATTTCTAATCTGAGCTTTTGCAAGGTTCCCCATTGCTCAGAGGTTCCTGGTGAGGAATAGATCTGCAGGTAAAGGTTACCTGTTAAAGAGTGAGGATGTACCGACAGACTGTGTCATTCTCTCTCATCATCAAGCTTCATCTTCATCCCTCTCATGTGGCCATACAGTATCATGTGTTATTTGGGGTAAATGGGGTAAAACAAATGACCATGACATGACAAAGGGGAACTCTCCACCTCGTTGCTCACTGGACAACACTGCCCCCTACAGGCGTCTCAACGTGGGGAACAGCGTGTGCACGTAGAGCTCGTTACAGCTGCTTCACATCTATTTCAACATCAGTGTAGGGATTGTGCGTCATCTCCAGTAATATGTGCTTATTTTCTCCATAATGAGTTGGTGCACACGTCGTATCCTATTTTATTTGACCTATTTATTGATTACACATTTTGTGTCATTTTTTAAGAAGCACAGTTTTATTTTGGTCAGGTTTTGAGGTAGTTTGGTCATTTATTGTGTTACCTGCAACGTTATTCTGATGTTATTCCCTTACCCCAGCTCCTGGGTGATGTCCCATCGTGGTGCATTGGTTTTGATGATAAAGATGTTTGAGTAAAAGGACATATAAAGAACAAATGAAAAGAGTTTTCCTGTTATTTATTGTTATTATTGTTATTATTGTTGTTGTTATCATTATTATAACAGATAATTAGCTTTTGCTGTTAGTTTGAACAGCCATCATTTGAAATTATAGCTTTTTAAATTTATTTTTATAGCTATTTGGTTCGGAAATATCAGTTTGGAGGAGGAAGGTTCTTGAGCTTCTAATTCAACTGAAAAATATAAACAATATAAATAAACAACATTGCTTCAAAAATATTGGTAAAATGTGTTTAATCAAAACAATTAATTTAAATGACACAATCAAAACGACTATGTGTTTCAACATAGGCTTGCAGTTCCGTTCCGATTCCTATGAGGAAGTGACTCCCATTTTCCAACCACCTGAGGGCGACATCAGTGGGGCCACTGTGTTAATGAATAGATATGGTGTGATGTTTATAATTTGTTTTTGAACAAACTGAGCCTGATAAACTGAGATTCAAGGTTGTAACAAAAAAAAAAAAAAATTATATATATATATATATATATATATAATACCAGTTTGATATTCCCTGAAGTGCATCTGCATCTTCATCTGCACTGCTTACTGTTGCTACTGTGTTAAGTTAACTTTAATTTTTATTTTGTTGACTTTACTTTTATTTCGTTAACTTTAATTTAACTTTTATTCTAATGTATGTTTAATGTATGTGTAATGTATGTCTTGTTACTGGATGCTTGAATTTCCCTCGGGATAAATAAAGTATCTATCTATCTATCTATCTATCTATCTATCTAAAACATGATTTAGGAAAATAAATATGTTTTATATATAGCTATATGTTTTTGTAAATGAACCCTTCAGATGTAATCAGTACAATTTTCTTTCCGCCTTTATTGGTCAGTAAGTTAACACAGACTAAACACGTATAAATCAATGATTCAAGCAACCAATACAACCACAAAGGAACAAATACACAGACACTACCAATGTCAATAACACATGAGAACAGAGGCGTCATTTACTTCCTGTAAGACACCGTATTTTTCATCTTGCAGACGCAAGGAGGGGGGGGGGGGGTAAAAAAAAACCGAGGGCAAAATCCGTAGCGCTTTCTCATTGGTCCAAAAATATGGAATCAGATGACGTAGTAGTTCCGGGTTCCTAGGGCCCGAGAAGGTAACTCTCGGTCATTTCTGGGTAGACACACGACTGACCGGGTTTTCCGTCGCTGAAGGTAAGATTGTCTCAAGGCTGCCCAGTTAAGCAGGGTATCACTCTCTCTAGCTGGCCAACCTGTAATCTCATTACCGCCTTTATCCCCCTCGGTAGATTTCCGTTCGGGTTAATGTGTGTGGGCAGCGTTGGATTGGTTCCTAAGCTGACATCCTCGGTAGTTAACGTTGATCGAGTTGCCGGAACCTTGCTCAATGATACGCTGTAAGCAGCAGCGTGTGGCGGCTTTTTGTCATCCTCCTGTCCGCCATCCCGCTCATCACCCATTGTCGTATAACCTCTTAATGTTGAATCCGCCTCACAGCTCATCTTATGTTTTTTTTTATAAGATAGTCAGTTCAGATGTGTTATTATTTGGTGGGCTTCATTTAGCTTGAATGCAGCTTTTTGTGTTGTTTTTTTTTTTTCTTCTTCCCTAACATGTACTGGAAGTAGAAGCTGAGGATGAATTTGGGCTATTTCTGGTGTATAAGCGTAATTGATATGGGTTACATTAGCAATATCCGTCCAAAATGGCTAAATTACGTTATGTTACCATGGAAATAAGTAATTAATTAATTAATAAAATGATGCGTGCAGTATTCGGCCCAGCGTTATCAGATCTGACACATCAGGGTGGTTTTATCACGCCATGCTATCTTCATTTAGGGATGGATGTGTGGCAGAATATTTGCCTTTACTCCAGGCATTCTCGTTTGCCTGCCGTAATGCTTTGCAAATTAAGTTATTTGAATGTTCTGTTAAGTCAAGTCGACATTTTTTTTTTTTTTAAAAAGTGACTGGACAGGTGAGTGTATGCTTTACCTCACAATAAATGCTGTCAGTACACAAACATTGTTGCTCGGAGTGTGGAGCTGAAACCCTCATGGTGAATGTACTGGCAGACAAACAGAGCACCTCAGTCTTTATTTATCCTCTGGAGTATGACCATGCCCATATTTAAGACATACAGCAGAGGTATGACGTAGATCAGCTATGATTCACAGAAATGTGAATCACACTGTGTGTTAAGTTCTTCAGGATAAGGGAGTGCTGGTTACATTAGTACATTACTGACACTGTATTTATCTTAACTTGGATAAGGTATCTTAGTAGATACAGTCATCTTAATACCCATCACCATAAGTTGCTTTTCCTATCTAATGTTGTGTAAGTCCATATCTTTCTATCACTGTTTTGTGACATGAAAGTAGGTCACATATGACATGTTTGGTCAGTTTAAACTCCTTCATCCACCCTGCTCTGACTGTGATGTTATTAGCAAACAGAGCTTGCCCTATAGTGACCTTTCCCTCACCACCGAGTGGGGTGAGCTTCAAGAGTATCGTCATTGGTTGTCCCAAGCTCGATCCTCTTCAGCACAACTCATAGAGCTGTGGTCATTGGATGTGGCCAGCTGGTCTCAGCCCCGCTTCCCCTCCATCACCTCTCAGATAACCTTCCCTTTATTGTTGAGAGGCAAACGGGGGGGTTGTACACTACAAGGGAGGGAATGTGGATTGTTGAAACACACTCTCCAAAGAGGTCTCCTATATAATTTAGCTTTAAAAGCTGACAGATGTACAGAGGCTGTTTGGAAAGAGGTGAGTCAAAGAAAAAAAAGTACTGGGTGTAGTTCCAGCATTGCACAGTCCTCCTTGGTGTAAGGGGTGGTTATCAGGGGGTTGGTTTAAAAGACTTCCAGATACAGATGGTAGATACATTTTTAGTTAGTAGCTGACTTTGCTTCGTAACCCATCGTTTTGTCTGGGTTCTGTTTTTTTCTGTGCCAACTTCCTCTTCCAGATGTTACATGTTACATGTGGCTGTTAAAATCAAATCTGACTATTTCGCTCTGACTTTTGCTTTTTTTTTGGTTTTTGTTATTTCACATGATAAAGATTTTTCTGATGGTATGTTCTGTTTTATTTCAACTTTAGGTGGGACGGTGGACTAAATATTTTCATTCTACAGTTGTGGGATTGCTAAGTGTCTACTACTAGGCTTTTTTCTCTTTCTGAGGCAATCGTCCTTACACACTTCATCTTTCGGACCAGGACATTATTTGAAACCAGTCTGACCACCACTGCTGCTCAGTTCACTTCCAGAGAACACCATGGGTCTCCAGTCAGACACTATCCTCCAATCTATCCTCCTCTTTCCAATCCACCTTCTGGTATGGCTGTACTCCGTCCTGACCTTCCTGCCCTGGTACTACATCACTGGTGCCGGCCAGAGAAAAGCTCTGTCCAAGCGGGTAAAGGCCCGTTCCACTTCAGGCCATGCAGAGGGACCGTACCGCTCCGTGGACCACTTTGATTCTCTGGCTAGGGAGGACTTCCCAGGCAAGGACACACTAGATAAACTGTTCGAGCATGCTGTGCAGCGTTTTGGACAAGCACATTGTCTAGGCACCCGAGATGTACTGAGCAAAGAAAATGAGATTCAACCCAGCGGTAAAGTATTTAAAAAGGTAAGGATTCCCATCACTTTCCTTGCCCCCGTCGCCAAGTGCTTGCTCATGGTGGTACTGTTGGGTCTCTGTAAATGTTTAAGGAGTTCGGTCTAGACCTGCTCTATTTGAAAAGTGTCCTGAGCTTTCTGTTATGAATTGGCGCTATACAAATAAAATTTAATTGAATGAATTGAATTGAATTGAATATATCGTTTTTGGGGAGGGATGCTTGTGAGGACAAAGAAGTCTGATTTTGCAAATGACTCTTTCTCCTATTAGCTGATCCTGGGAGAGTATAGATGGCTTTCCTACAATGATCTTGACACTATAGCCAGTGAGTTTGGCAGTGGATTGGCAGCCCTGGGGCAGCAGCCCAAAAGCAGTATTGCAATCTTTTGTGAAACCAGAGCGGAGTGGATGATCACTGCCCAGGCTTGCTTCAGGCGCAATTTCCCATGTAAGTATATTACAGTATAGTACTAGATGTTATCTTACAAAGTGTAAATAATGTACTAACTACTGTTTTTGCACTTTGTATTCATTACAGTGGTGACATTCTATGCCACTCTGGGTGAGGAGGCAATTGCATATGGACTGAACGAGATCGGAGTTACACATCTAGTTACCAGCGTGGAGCTGATTGAGACCAAACTGAAAGTGAGTTAGTCGTGTACAGCACATAATCAGAACAGCTTACTCTGATTTTCAAGCAATGATCAAGCTGTGGTGGTGGACAAAACATCTTGTCTCTCTTTACAAGTAGCCCTAATAATCATCATAAGATGACCATTTGGGACTAAATAGATCATTTCATGTCATAAACATCAAAGCTGGTATGGAGAATCCTGAAAAAAGGTGTCTTGCCTGCAGCCACATGGTTGAATGAATGAACACAGTATTTGCTGAGAAACACACCATAGGCTGTGACTAAATTAATGACGTTCAGTCTTACTGTATAGCTAAACTTAGCGTCTGCATAGTTGGCTTGGCTTCGTATGTTATGCTTGTCAGGCCATTTTAAAATTAGGTACAAGAAAATGTGGACTGTGTCAGGACAGACGAGCGTGAGAAAGGAGAAATGGTTTTACATGGGCTCTGTGTGTTAATTTGAGTAAAATCTTTGCATTTCCCCAGAAGCCATAATCAAAATAAGATCAAAAGGAAATTAACTGAAATATAGTAAAATCATTTTTTGAATATGAAAACTTCTCAAACAAACATTTTAGATTCATAATTTCCAACGGTTGGATGTTTTGTTTTATTCTGTAGTTCAAGCTTCTGCCCACTATAACTATTATGGCAGTGAATATGGAGTTAGAAATCCTTCTTATTTATAAAAGGAAATCATGTGATTGGGTATCCTGTTGTTATAGCAGCTTTGTCCTCTCTTTCCGTCCAGAATGTGCTTTTACAGATCCCAAAACTGAAGCATGTGATCTACGTGGACCAGAAGAAAGTGAGCACAGAAGGCTACCCAGCAGGACTATCCTTCCACAGCATGCAGGCTGTACGAGAGCTGGGCGCTCTGCCTGAGAATAGTGTGTATTTCTCTTACTCACCTTGGTCATGCTTCTTTGTCACATTCGGGGGTGAAAGACCTCACTCATACAGTACAAGACAATAAGTGTTTGTTTGTCTTGCAGTGAGCAGGGCAATTGTGAAGCCCCAGCCCTCTGATCTGGCTGTGGTAATGTACACCAGTGGCTCTACAGGCAGACCCAAAGGAGTCATGATTGTCCACAGTAACATAATTGCAGGAATGACTGGCCAGTGTGAACGCATCCCTGGACTCGGGTCAGTTTCAGTATTGGTCTTTATAAATGATTGAGTATAATATAATGCACATAGCAGGGTTTTTACAGCATTCTTACCACAACTTCACAGCTCTTTCTGAGTAGCACATCTTACAATTTGAGGTAGATTTTCCCCATAAATTTGTGCTGAGACAGGCTTCTGGCAGTGAAATAACCACCATTTGCAACTAACTAGAGATGTAAGGAGGTGGATGGTGCATTTTTGCGAGTGTGCTTTTTATGTTAGAAACTTTGAACCACAGAACCACACTTAAAAATGTTCAGTGTGAAAATTTGCAAGAGGAACAGAAAACATGTAGTAACCCTAACCTTTGCTTTCTCTACCTGTGTTCTGACAGGCCTAATGATACTTACATAGCCTATCTGCCCCTGGCTCATGTTCTGGAAATGACAGCTGAAATCTCCTGTATCACATATGGCTGTCGCATCGGCTACTCATCCCCCCAGACACTCTCAGACCAGGTAATACGGAGCACCAACAGCAGGCTATGTTGTGTCTAGGGATGGGACGATATGCAATATTATTGTGATTAAAAAATGTGTGGAACTAGTATGGATTCCAAAATATGGAACATGGAGATGAGATGATCAGTAATGCAATTAATATGGGTTTAAGTATGAAGTATATTTTTATTATTATTATAATAATATTGTGTATTGCAGTTTATTGTGACTTTTCATACCGTCCCATGCCTAGTCTGTTAATGTGTTTGCTAAATTTCTTTATAACAGACCTAGGTGTGGTTACCAATACTTGTCTGCATCATTGCCATTAGTTTAATCATTGCTGCTATCTCATGTAATCAGTGCCTTCAACTGTTTTTTATCTTTTCCCTTTAGTCCACTAAGATAAAGAAGGGAAGTAAAGGAGACTGCTCTGTGCTCAGACCCACCCTGATGGCAGCTGTGCCTGTAAGAATCCTGCTTTTCATTCTTTCCTCTGTCCACTACTCGCTACTCTGTTTACTCAGTTTTAAATTCTTTCTTTAACCCACTAATCTTTATATGTATAAATTAATCCTTTTACTTCTTCTTTCTTCAGGAAATTATGGACCGCATCAACAAGAATGTGATGAGCAAAGTGCAGGAAATGGGTTTCATTCAGAAGAAGCTGTTTACACTGGGCTACAAATATAAACTAGAGCAGATTAAGAGAGGCTATGACGCACCACTCTGCAATGCGTAAGGAACCACTATTTCTAAACCAGTGCCTGTACAAATGTGACCGTGTTGTTTAACTTAAAATTAAACATGCATCAATCTGTCTTTGCAGCCTGTTGTTCCGGAAAGTGAAGAAACTGCTGGGGGGGCGGGTGAGGATGATGCTGTCTGGAGGAGCTCCCCTGTCCGCAGCCACTCAGAGATTTATGAATGTATGTTTCTGTTGTCCAGTGGGCCAGGGCTATGGCCTCACTGAAACCTGTGGAGCAGGCACCATCACAGAGGGTAAGAAGAGATTTAAAGCATAGCGTAGAGAGTGTTGGGCTGAAAACGTATAACTATGTTATTAAAAAATTGTGCCTTCTTATACAGTTGCAGACATCAGCACTGGCCGTGTTGGAGCTCCGCTTCTGTGCTGTGAGATCAGACTTAGGGATTGGGCTGAAGGTATGGCTGAAAAACATGTTGGCACACGCTGTACTTACAATGCAGACTGAAAAGTTTTTTTTTAATTACAGGATAATTATGTGTTATTTTACAACTTTATTTTCCAATTTTCTCAGGTGGCTACACGAGCAAAGACAAACCAAACCCAAGGGGAGAAATCCTGATTGGCGGTCCCAATGTAACCATGGGTTACTACAGGAATGAAAGCAAGAATCAGGACTTTTTTGCGGATGAAAATGGTCAGAGATGGTTCTGCACCGGAGATGTTGGAGAGATTTACCCTGATGGCTGTCTACAAATAGTGGGTATGTATCAATTTTGTCAAAGCGGTTACACTTTACTTAGGCCCATGGCTGTCATCTGATGTAAAGCATCTGACAGCACATCATTCATACTCAATTTCATAGCACATAGATTTGCAGTCAATGTGGTTGTAACTTCTGACAGGCAAACTGTGTGTTCTTGATAACAGAGCACTGTTGTGAACAGATTTTTTATATTCTCCTTTAGACCGAAAGAAAGACTTGGTCAAACTGCAGGCCGGGGAGTATGTGTCCCTCGGTAAGGTAGAGTCTGCTCTGAAAACCTGCTCTCTTATAGACAACATCTGCGCATACGCAAACAGGTAAGTCATAAGTCTTAATTTATTTAGGAAAAGTTCCATATATATATATCTTTCAGCGTTTTGAATACTATTTCAAATTTCTCCAATTACTTTAGCCCTTTATCAACCTTGTTTTCATGTTCATCCCTGCAGTGAACAGAACTACGTGATCAGCTTTGTGGTTCCCAATCAGAAAAGGTTGACAGAAATGGCCAAACAGAGAGGCATAGTGGGAGCATTGGAGGAGATCTGCACTCACCCCGACATGGAAAGAGAGGTTCTGAAGGAGATCAAGGAGGTCGCTGTTAACCGTAAGAGTTGTCCATGTCTTTTCACGATATTGTGATATGGCCGTACTAATCCTTTACTTTTATGAATATTTCTTAGTTCTGTCCTCATCTCCACCCATACATGTTCTTTCTGCATGTGTTGTACCAATATTGTAGCAGAAAAAAAAGCACATTTTAAATTGTACTGTACTTAGCCTGTCTCTTTCTCTTCACTTTTCATTCATATAGTTAAACTTCAGCGATTCGAGATCCCAGTGAAGGTGCATCTGAGTCCAGAGCCGTGGACCCCCGAGACAGGTCTCGTCACAGATGCGTTCAAGCTGAAGAGGAAAGAGCTGAAGAACCACTATCTCCACCACATAGAGAGAATGTATGGGGGAAAATAACTTTGCCAGTTTCACCAACGAGTTCCCGTTCTCACCATAACCACTGTTTTCGTCTGTAAATAATCTTCCCGGTACCCAATTGGATTTTCATGCTGTTGTGAACCACAGGTCCAAATGAAAATGTCTTGAGCAAAAAAAGCTGAGGCTGTAGATAGTTGTAGCTGTTGTTCCATATGTGCTGCTTTTTATTCTTGTGTGTAGAGGTTTCGATTGTCAAAGAGGTGCACTCAAATGGCAACTCTCATTCAATGAAAAGGTCAGAGACCATTACAGCACTCCACTGCCATCCACTTCAATCTGTTGCCACTCAGTTTGTAGCTGATAAAAAAAGTACCACTGTCCTTCATATGTTGCTGATGCTTTGTTGTAACTTCCATTGAAAATATTAACTGTTCATCATGGAGGCTTGTAATGCTCTTTTGTAAAGTTGGAGTGCTGATGTTACTGTGCCTTCAGTCTGCAGTACTTGTGTAGTCAAGCAGAAGTTAAGTGACATCTAGATCAAAAAACATAGTTTACGCTTTTGTTACAAAAATGGCTAAATTGCCATGTAAAGTTTACTTGAGGCTTTAGGCAAAATATCCCCATCCCGAGATACACCGACATGGATCATAAAGAGAAAAAGTTACACATGATCATGTCAGCTTATTCTTTTTTTTCTCCCGACTTGATGTTTTATTTATGAGTTTTTGTCAATTTATTCAGAAAGTAAGACCAAAATGTATAAACATAAATGACTCAGGAAGATAAGCACATGTTTTAATATATGAAATTGTCAAGTAGTGGGTTGCTCGTATAGAAAGTACTTCTGTCAAAATTCGTGTTGGCACCTTATTTATTTAAGAGCAAGCATGCTTAACTACTAATACAATGCTCATTAGCATTAGCTAGTCCGAACTGGCATACTGTGCATATTTTACCTCAGTTAACAGGTTAATGTACAATTTGGTATCAAAGTTATCTGAAGTTAAGTCTGTTCATTTTAATAGGAGTGTTTTCTATGTATTTTTCGAAGTGTTGTGTTGATGGATATGAAACATTAAAACTTTAAAGGACGCAAACGATGAGTCACTTTACAGTTGGTTGTTTAGTGATCCTATTTGTATTTATTACGCCATCATTATGAGCACTTGCCTTGTTCAACATTTTTGAGAATAAAAATTGTATTTCCTATTCAGTGTTTTATGACATTTTTGATTTTATTACAAAAGCATAGGGATAAACACATCATCTTATTTTCAAAGCAGAGATGGAAAAAGGCCTCAGCTATTCCAGTCCTGAAATCGGAAACAGTCACTAGCAATCTTCCAAACAGGCTGATCATTGTTGGGTGAGGCCTGAGCGGTCAAAAGAAAGTTCTGGTTGAAGAAACGCTGTTTGTTCCCTTCAAACTTGACTGTCCCACCAGTCACCACAAGCAGTGTGGTCTGGCCTTGGGTTGCTTGTTCTGTGAAAGAAGAAAGGGTTGATTGATAGCGGATTAACATGCCTTAAGTAGAAGAACATTGCAATCACATTACAGACCTGGCCTAGAGATATTTCCACTATTTAACATAAAATGCTTGACCTGTAATGCTCTGCATCACCAACACACAATTATCCACTCGAGGCGACACAGATGAGAATCATCAATAGGACTTGAGATTGACCCACTAACCGTGAACTGGCTGACAATCCAGGGTTTGAACTTGGAACTCGCTTGATGGCAGAGACTCAAAAAACTCGCCCAGAGCATCTTGTCCTGACACTGCATTCCCATTCCACACTAAGGTCGCCTTGTCCAGGTAGAGCCGGGTCAAGTTCTGGGAAATAGGAGCAAGTACATGATGATGTTAACAGCAGAATCAAATGCAGAATGTAGAGTGATCTACAGCCCGACCAATACTGGAGTAATAGTCATATTGATCTTTGATTATAGCTGATATTTTCACACACACAGTTTTGGATGATAATTAAAGTTGACAATGACTGCTCTCTGGTGAGCAAACTGTGTAATGGCGACACTGCAAGTTACCTCAAACACATCTTCCACAATCTTTCGGGCTGCAGTTTCTTACTACTGGCGGATATAACTCACCCTCCTTTTCTTATCCATGCAGTCGTAATAAATGTTGACGAATTCTTCCGAATATCTGCATGACTGGTCGACATGCGTCCTGAAATCCTAGTGAGAACAATCACAATTCAGGAATGAACACAGTCAACTAGTAAACAAGGTGCGACCGATTCGCCAGGCGCACATTGTAAACCAGCTAGCCACGGTTAGCACACATCGCGTTAGCTGCTTCACTTCAGCATGAAAGTGTAGCGATAAGTTTTAAACTTACCAGCGTGCTTGCCATACGTAAAGATGTATGAATCGGAGCAATACTGAACACGACTGTCAGACGGATAGTGGACGATGTTTTAAAGCATCAATTCAAGGTGGCTTTTCTTTTTCTTGATCATTTAGCAGCTAACAACGCCATGTTTTGCCTTTTGTATCACTTCCTTTTGGACACCAACTATACCTACCAAAATAAAATGGTTGTACCGTTTGTTTAATTGAAATGAAAGCCACTTATAGCGTGGTTGCAGCCCGATGTATCACTATCCACAACCTCTATTTGTTCAGCGATTCAAATAGAATAATAACTGGGGTTAATGATAAAACAATTTGGTAATTCACATTAAATTTCGTCGATAGTGATTTATTTTGAAGGAAAGAACTTGACCCATGCGGAAGTAGAGATTATAATTTCCTGAGTCATTGCTCGTCTGGTTCAAATCTGAAACGAAACATATCCTGAGTGTCTCCACTAAGATACTATACATTTAGTTTGACACTCACTGGGTTTATATAAAATGGAGGGTACTGTATCAAATGTGGAGGTTTGTAACTTTGCTTACACGGGGAAGTTTGAGGAATTAAAACAGAGCATCCTGTCAGATAAAACGCTTGCGTGCAAAACGGACCAGGTAAGAATTCATGTTTTTAAATAAATGACAAAAAGCATTTAACGCTAAACGTTTTCCACGTTTTCACCCGCGACTTTCTCTTATTTCAGGACCGTAGAACCGCCCTTCATTGGGCCTGTTCTGCTGGACACACCAACATTGTGGAGTTTCTGCTGGACCTGGGAGTTGAAGTGAATCTGCAAGACGATGTAGGCCTAATTGTGGTTAATTTCTTGGTAAACAACAAGTGCAATGAACTGTTTTTGTTCTCTAAGGTGGTGGAGGGATGACAGTTAATGCTAGATTGGTGCACCGTACAATATCATGAAGTCCTATTACTATAACAACTATTTAAAATGTGGTTTAAAGATAGCACAGAGTGGATTTCATAGTCTTTTTGACATTTAATTAGGTATAGGTGGGGCTATTTCAGTGTTCTTATGATGGCAAATGAAAAAGTACAGACATCTCCAAGTCAATTTTGTGAAATGACTAAATGTGTCCCTGCCCAGGCTTCATGGACCCCTCTTCACATTGCAGCATCTGCAGGCAGAGAAGAAATTGTGAGATCTCTAATATCCAAAGGCGCTCAGCTGAATTCAGTGAATCAAAATGGATGCACCCCTCTGCACTACGCAGCCTCCAAAGACCGATATGAGGTAAGATTCCCTGGCTGCCGTAACATTTCGCACATGACAGTACTGCATTCTTGTAATTATGTTTCTTCAGGTAAGCTAGCTCTATACATGTACTTACAATTATATTGTATTTATAATCATATTATATGTCCAATAATAAAGATGCATACATTTTTTTTTAGAGCTGTAACAAATAGTTAAAGGTCCAGTGTGTGGGATTTCATGATTGTGTACCGTAATTAATCCCCTGAAGGGAAAATTCAATTTGACACAGCAGCAACAGCAGTTGTAGTACAAAAATAAAGTAAATACAATAAAATAAACACAGTACAGTGAAATACAGTAAGATGAAATGGGAATAATATACAACAAGTGGTATGTTGATGTTATGCGTACATGCACAAGTGAAATGTTTCTCAAAATGTACAAATCTGTGACGTTGTTGTCGGTTTAACTGAGTGGTGTGTGGTTTAGAGTTTCAAATCAGTAATCAGTAGTTGCTGATTGCACCACTCTCACCTCACCCTTCCAAGTGTGTAAACTACAATGGCGGCCCTGAAACTCGCAAAAAAAAACCCACAAAAGGTCAAATCTAGAGTTAGTTTTTGGTTTGTCCATTTTGGCCTATTGTAATAACTCGGCGGTTTAACATGGCGGACTCTGTAGAAGAGGACCCACTCCCTTTGTAGATAAAAAGTGTTGACTACATATTTTCAGGTGATTGTATACTAATGAAAATATAAATATTATATTCCATTTTTGCATATACACCCTCCTACACTTCCACTCATACTCTTTACCTTTCCATTTATGCTAACATGAAGACAGTTTGGGTATCATAACCTTGGACTGACATAAATGTCACCTTCTTCAAAATGCCCACCATTTCAGCCTCACATTTATTTTACTGCTTAACTGTGTATTTCTTTCACACCTACCACACCAGCAACAAGAAACAATATATACCTAACCATTGGTATTTGTCCTTTGCTATTAGCTGATAAACCTTATTTTAAAATGACTTATGAGTCCAGTGTGTAAAAATAAAATAAAGCAAGTCAATCCTTTTATTTTATTTCATTGTATTTCTTTATTTTTGTACTACATTCGCCTGTGCTGCTTAAGGTGGTTATCTTATCTCATCTACACTGCTAGATGCACTTGAAAAGGTGCATTTCACACAATGTTTTTATTTACATGCACTGCAATAAAGCATTTAGCACACAGTTGGAGGAATGTAACAATATATTGTGATACAAATTGAAGGAAGCTTCAAATTGGTAAGAGGAAAAAATAATACAATTGTATAATTTGATAAAGAAAATATATTATGTCGATTTTTACGAAATAAAGGAATCCTTTTCAGTTTTAATTTGTCTTAAATCTCATTTTATTCATAAAATATTGTGAGAAAATCACATCATGAACACAGTTTTGTGAATTGTATCGAATTGTGAGTTGAGTGTATTGTGTATCCTAAATCCCTACTCAGTGGTAGCACAATTCTTCAAGGTTATTAAATCACTTTCTCTTTGTGAAAGAGCAGTGGCACTCCAACAATGCAATTTGTCAGGGCACGTATTGCATCATGTTCTATTAGTACCAATCTGTATATATATATACTAATTGCAAAAACATTAAATTGTGGCCCTTATTATATAGTACACGGTGTAAAATTAATATTAAGTTAATTGGAACACATAAAATGTCTTTGCTGTCAAAAACATGCAGAAAGTCACATACAAAACTAGATATCTAAAGTCTAAATGTATTAATTGGATGAAATAAGTCCCTTTACAGTAGTCCCTTAACCAGCCTTTCCGAAACCAACAGGACCAACAGGATCTGAAAACGTGTAGGCCTATTTCAAATGGGAAGTCACTGAATTTAAAAATAGGTTACTTGTCAATAACTTGTGAGTAACACAGCTTTCCCTCTTTTATAGATTGCTCTGATGTTGTTGGAAAACGGAGCAGACCCCAATGTCACCGACAAGTATGAGTCCACTCCCCTGCACAGAGCATCTGCCAAGGGAAACTACCGCCTCATCAAGCTGCTTCTTGAACAGAGTGCCTCAACCAACATCCAGGACTCACAGGGCAACACACCACTGTATGTGTGAATAAGTATCTGTCTGAAACAACATTGTGGCGGCTGGTACAAGGATACAGTTGCTGTAGAATACTGTTACTGAAACAAAGAAACACAAACCCTTGAAGGGTCAGTTCACCTAAATTGAAACCATGTTTTCTCACTTACCTTTAGTTGTATCCAGCCACGCAGCTAGGTCTGGCTTTACTTGGTTTCACTGTCTGAGATTTTTACCTCTACCATAATACAATGAAGATTAATCGAATGTAGTATTTGGTGTTTAAAACATTGAACATTATTTACAATTTTGCTTATTTCTTTTTTCTTTTTTACCAGCCATCTGGCGTGCGATGAGGAGCGTGTGGAAGCAGCCAAAATGCTGGTGGAACATGGGGCTAGCATCTACATTGAGAACAAGGAAGAGAAGACGCCCCTTCAGTTAGCCAAGGGGGGTCTGGGCAAATTACTTCGTCAGATTGTGGAGGGATGATGCATTTACTGTGTTCCTGCTCGAAGTCCCACCATCGCAAAGTTACACAAAAATGAGAATTCTCATCCCAGTCGATCCTCCTTGAGCGGCCCAGTGTGACACATTGAGATGTGCAACAGGTGGAAGATAAGACGGTGCCAGAGAGGGAGAAAGGAGAGGGAAGTTGGACTATTGCATCTTGCTTCTTAGACGGGGCAGTGAAACTGCTCCGGCTTTATATGTCTGATTTAAAAACTAAACAGTCTATGCCCACTGCAGCGTATTTTCTATGAAGTCTGAGTTGTTGCATAGGTGACTAAATAAAATTTGTGTTCAGCTTGTCAATAAAGTATGTTTGGGATTTATTTATTTGTTGTACATGCAAGCATTTGATCCAGAAAATGTCCCATCAGTAATGCTGGCTGTTGACAAAGGTAAATTGGTCGGCAAAACACTAATTTTTTCTTCTTTAAAACTGCAAAAATTTGGGGGCAGTGGGAAAAAACACTGACAATATCACCTTTTAAGTTGATATGGCAAACCTGTTGTAACAGTTACAGAGCAATATAATCATTCATTAGGATTCCTGCTTCTGGCTGCCTAGTCTTGTGTGAATTAAGTATTTAGAGAGTGTCTTGGGAGTCTACTAGCCACCTGGTGACTGTAAGTCTAGTATTCACTCTGTTTTGGTCTGTACCAACACCTGAGGGAAATATCTGGCTCTGTTGCTGCTAAATGCTCTAATATGTTTGTCAGCTAGTCTCTAGTGCGTCTGTCTGCTATCCGGTGCTGAGCTGGAAGGGCACAATGGATTTTTAGAGCTTTTTTGTTTAAAACATATAAATATCCACATCATCCTGTCACCTGCACACTGATCTTTGTGTACATACATATATACCCTGGCAAAACTAAAACCATTTTCACCTGTTCACAATTATGCAGGAAGCAGCACCCATGTTTCTGACTGCATCCAAAAGATCATACCACATTACTCCCTTCAGTGTGTTTGCAAGTTAATTTATAAGATTTAATAACTTTTAAACCAGCACAAAGTTGTGACACATTGATGGTGAACCAGTTTCAAACCCTGGTTAAGATTTTTATGTTGTAACTCAGATTCTAATTATTTAACCATTTATTTCACAAATATACACGTGATGATGTCAGTGAGAATGAGCTGTACTTTGAGGAGCTTAGGGTGGGGGGGGGTAGTCAGGGTAGTGGAATCAGAGTAGAAGTTGTCTTTTGGCCATTTGGTTGTAAATATCAATGACCTCATTTGGGTCAACTGGGATGTCCCTCTCAATGGATAGCAGCAGAAGATGTGAGAGCCTGTCTCCCCCTACATTTATCCTTGAGCTAAGTCTTGATCAGATTTCTGGATATTGACCATTCTACCAAAGCACTTGACCCTGGCAATGTGATCTGTACAGTGCTGCTTGAATCACCTGAGCATTGTGGAGTTTTCTATTGTTTCAACCATCATTTCTTTATGTAATCAGGTCCAGTATTTTCATATGAAATAACAGTCGTATGTTTATCAAGTACATGTACTTTTTTTTGTGTAGTGAAAAGACTAAATGAAAAATATTTTTTGTAAACTTTTGTAGGAACAAAAGTTAGTGAACCCTGAGCTCCATTGCTTAAAATGGGCAGGTAAATACAATCAGGTGAAACAGGTCAAACCAGGTCAAAGTGAGCCCAGGTCAATCATGCTGAGAGTAGTATATGTGGCACACGTATCTCTACCAGGTGAGCTACTAGGGCATCCCGATATTTTCCATTTTCAACCCTGGCTGTGGTTGACATTATCAAGGTGCATTTTGACACAGTAACAATATTGAGTTTGTACCAAGAAAGTTTATTTTATTTGGGCTACTTTCATCATGCCTTGTGAAATAAAACGGGTTGACCAATAGAGCAAAAAGAACTCTACACATCTCTCAAGAGTAGTCTATTCAGTTCTTTTGAACATGTGCAGGAAATTATATAGTGAAAATGTTATGTCCTTTGGATTTTCAATGGCCTCATCATCATCATCATCATCCTCATCATCATCCACTGTGATTTCTCCACTGGAAAGTAGAAAAACTCCCAGGTGGGGAGGCACTGTTTGGTGTAATTGACGCCAAACACGCAGAAAGCTGTGGTTTTTCATTGGGAATTTAGAGCCGCCGAATTTCTCAAAGATGTTTCCTGACGTCACAGTAGTGGTCAGCTGGGACGCGCAGACGAGGTGCGCAATAGTCAACGTTACTTTCACTTCCTGAAAGCGAGGGCACGTCAACTAAACAGTCCCCTGTAATCATTGGATCTTGCCGTAGGCGTTGTTCACATCAAACACTGCCTGGGATCAGAGACGGGAGAGCTGGCTGTGAGATATTAAACGGTAATCATTGAAGTTTTGCAATTATAGTTCATTAAATAACTTTTTTTTTGACCTCATCGACGTTAGGTAGACGAGCTAAGCTAACGTAGCTAGCGTTAGCTGTCGCCCGTAGCTAGCCTTAGGTTTAAAGTTACGTCTTCGCAAGTCCTGTTTACTAACGTTGACCTAACATTGCAGCTCAGGAGCACTGGCCAAAGTCCAAAGCGACTGTTTCTACACCTGGCTGAATAACGTACCTTTTAGCTCATAACATGGGCTCCATTTGTCTGAACACCGAGCTAACGCTACGCTCGTCTGGATAGCGAGGTGTCAGCTGTCAGAAACTATGGAGCTGTTGTGTCGCTTTTGTTTAACTAAACCCCGTGTGATCTTTCCAGCGTTTGCGGGGCCAGTCGTTGCAGGGGAACAGTTAATATAAATGGCGGTGGGTGGATAGGTGAGGTATGACTTGCGACGCCATGTTATTCCAACTTTGTGGGAAGCAGTTTTCGAGATGCAGCGAGTGTCTTTAAGATATTGCCTTGTGTGATTGGACGTAAAACAGACATTTATACCTGAGCTTTGTTGTTGATCTGGTGATTGAGAAATGCCGACACGTAGCGCAGTTCAAAGATCACAAGCTGCTCCCCTTGATAAAGTAAATATGTCTTAAAGATAGCTGTAAGTCAATGACTAGTTGCTTGTGATATTGCTCAGAGCTGAGTTGAGTTTACGTGTTTTCTAGCCTCCAAAACACAGTGGCTGGGGAATCTAATACAAATCTTCTACTACAAAGGTTTTTTTTTCTCTACCTGTGCCCGATTTAGGGTCTACATTCAGTACAAAATACTGTTAAAATGCTACACATGTACTGTCAAAAAAAGATAAACATTTTTAATCTGTATAATCAGTTCCCCTTTATGAGAATATGTAGTATCCAATATGCTTCCCATGAAGTTTAACAATACACACCTTGTAGGTTTGCTTCCTAAAATATTATGCCCGACCTCCATAAAGCTGACCTTTTTAGTTTAATGTCCTACATATCATATTATACCTATTTGATTGTCAGTTTGTGCCTGACTGTCCCATGCGATCCTTAAGTAGCAATTATTATTGTTGGGCTTTGGCACAGTGGGTGTTGTTGGGCTGCACCCTTTGCAGTTCTACTGTATTGTAGTGTACTGAGCCTGTAGATAATCCTACCTCTCCAGCGCCCATCCCTCACCTGCAATATCCAACGGCTCTTCTCTTAAAGGCATGGTAACCATTAGAGCCTAAACGAGAGCAGCTTTCTGATTCCGATTTTCAGATTTGACTACTTTTGAACCCTGTGAAATGTAGTGTATTGTAAGCCATTAGCTGCTTTGTTTACTTTCCTAAGTTAAATGTTCATAAAAGTGTAGCAAGAAGTGATTTCTCTTATATTATTTTATTTATACATTTATAATTAATTTATATTATTCATTTATTTATATTTTTTTAGACATTTGCTGAACTTTAAAATGTACATACCCCTAATGCCTACAACATTTTTTTCCTGCAGATATTCTGTCCCTAAAGTTAGTCCATTCAGCAGTTTCCTGCTTGGCTCTATCATGTGTGATCCCAGACAAGACGGAAATTTGGAGACAGATCACTCGGAAGATTTTTCCCTGATGAACAGTCGTCTGGACTCATTCCGTGGCTCCAACTTGGCCCAGCAGGTGTCAGCAGAAAGATTGGCTCGGGCCGGCTTCTACTTCACTGGCCATGCCGATCGTGTCCGCTGTTTCAGCTGCCAGAAGACTGTGGAAAACTGGTGCAGGGGAGACACACCTGTACAGCGGCATAAGGAGGTGATCATGATAGTAATAAAAAACAAAGTGTAATCAATGTTATTTATTGTAATAATATATATATATATCTCTATATATGTTTCATTTGTGTAAACATGTTTCTTGAAACTATTGCTGTTGCTTTCTCAAAACTGCACAAATTTCTTGCAAAATGAAACACTGCACAACCACGATGCTTCTTCTCAAAAGTCATTATTTTTACCAGATGATATACACACACACCTAACATATGAATATCTCTTACAGAATATAAAAAATTAAAACACGACCATCAAAATACTGTTCATATATGTTTTGGCTTCATGAGTGCATGTTGCTATTTAAATGTATACAATTGTGTAGAAATTTCTTCCTTTTTTAAAGTTTGGGGATTTTTATTTTTATTTTTATTGGTTGCTATTTTATGGTACATACAGTATAAAGACTGTTGCCATAATACAATGCACATTTCTTTACCCAATGAGCTCCAGTTGGGCTGAACTCACTACCCAGCTTCCCAGAGTCATATTCTAGTTGATAATGCAACATTGTTAGAGTACAGAGAATACACAAATGTAACTACAGTAAGAAACTGTCTTTCTGGGGATGTAATGATGAAATCAGTATACAAAAAGGAAAAGGTAACAAAGCAAATACTTATTAGTGTAAACAGAAACCTCCAGTCCTTGATTATGATGGCTAAGCACACCTGTGACTGCATAAAAGAGTCATAGCGCGTCCAACAAATAGTTTCAAAATATTCGATTAGGAGGACCTTATCTACATCTGCTGCAATGTTCTCCTTGGCAAAAGCAGCCGGGTGAAAAGGGCTTGGTGTACCGGTGGATGTCATAACACGCCTCCTCCTAGATACCCAACATATATGTGCTGCTCTGGTCCCTCTTCCTTGGCAAACAGGCAGTACTGTATGGACCAAGTTGGGCCCACATGGTCACATTTCCCCCACACAGACCAGGGACATTGACAATGGCACGGTTGCCAATGATGTTTCTCCCCCTTCTTCCCCTCTATGTGAATGCAAGACAAAACAACACTTAACTTTTTTTTTTTTCTCTAAGCATTTCTGCAGTTACTGTAGAGAGTATAAAGACTATTGAAGTCATTACTTACTTGCTTGGATAACAAAGACTACTCTCTAAAGAC